TTTTTTTGGTTTTTTTGGTTTTTTTGGTTTTTTTGGTTTTTTTGGTTTTTTTGGTTTTTTTGGTTTTTTTGGTTCTCTTGCACAAGAATCCCCAAAAAACAAAAAAAAACCAAAAAAACAATCCTGAGAGACTCTTCCCAGGGGGTCCGGCTCCCCAACAGAGTCCCTCAGGATTGTGTTTTTGTTTTTTTTGTTTTTTTTGGTTTTCTTGTTTCTTTTTCATTATTTTTGTTTTTGTAGGGATTTTGTGTGTATTATTTCTTGTTGCACGTTTTTCGTGTGTTTTTAAAGTTTTTTTTTTTAAGTTTTGCGTGTTTTTTGTGGAAAAAGTGCACTCCCACAGCGTCCCATTTTCAATATAAATATATATATATATAGATATATATATATATATAGATATATAGATATATATAGATATGAAGATATATAGATATATAGATATATAAGTATGTAGATATATAGATATATAGATATATAGATATATAGATATATAGATATATAGATAGATATATAGATATATAGTTATATAGATATATAGATATATAGATATACAGATATATAGATATATAGATATATAGATATCACAATATAGATATATAGATATATAGATATATAGATATATAGATATATAGATATATAGATATATAGATATATAGATATATAGATATACAGATATATAGGTATATAGACATATAGACATATAGATATATAGATATATAGATATATAGATATATAGATATATAGATATATAGATGTATAGATGTATAGATGTATAGATATATAGATATATAGATATATAGATATATAGATGTATAGATGTAAAGATATATAGATATATAGATATATAGATGTATAGATATATACATATACGGATACAGATACAGACATGCAAACACACACACACAAATTTAGATGCATGCATGTCTGCATGTCTGCATGTATGCATGCCTGCATGCCTGCATGTCTGCATGTCTGTACTTGTACACACGTATGAATGTATGCATGTGTATGTACATGTATGTATTTGTAGGTATACGCATGTATATGTATGTATATGTATGTATATGTATGTATACGCATGTATATGTATGTATATGTATGTATAGGTATGTATATGTATGCATATGTATGTATATGTATGCATATGTATGTATCTATATATGCGTGTATCGTCGTTTCCGTTGGTGGGTTTGGAGATTTCTTCCATTTGAAAGGGATTTAGCCCCTCAAGCCCTAAACCCTAAACCAACCCTAAACCCTGAACCCTAAACCCTGAGCCTCTCTGCTAGGCCCCAGAACTGGCCAACAGCTGCCAAGATGAGAGTTGCTGCCTCACACCCAGCTCCTGCTTTGGGTTCAGGGTTCAGGGTTCAGGGTTTGGGCTTTAGGGTTTAGGGTTAAGGGCTTAGGTCTGAGATGTGTTGGGGTTTTCCAGAGGTTCGCGTGGCCCAAAACCCTCAACAGCTTTAAGCTCTGCACGGCCTATACTCAGGCCCCCTAAATGTGAAAGCAAGAAGACAAAAAAGCAACTCAACACACCCCATCATACACCCTACAGTGGCCGAATCAACCCTAACGCCTAAACCCCAAATCCCAAGAACCCTAAACCCTAAACCCTAGACCCTAACTAAAGCCTCTGAACCCTAAACCCTGAACCTTACCCTTAACCCTCAGAACCCTCAACCCTGAGCCTCGAACCCGAAACCCGAACTGAACCCTCGAGAGACGAAGACCCGCGAACTCCGCAAGTGCTCCGCAGACCCCCTAAACCCTAAACCCTCAACCCTCAACCCTAAACCCTGAACCCTAAACCCTAAACCCTAAACCCGAAACCCTAAACCCTAAACCCTAAACCCTAAACCCTAAACCCTAAACCCTAAACCCTAAACCCTAAACCCTAAACGCTAAACCCTAAACCCTAAACCCTAAACCCTAAACCCTAAACCCTAAACCCTAAACCCTAAACCCTAAACGCAAGTGCTTCGCTCGGATCCTCTTGGCTCACATAGTCACGTCGACTCATCCGATACTGTGTATGCTTTCCTTCACGCCGGGGGCCCAGCCGCTGTGCGCTTCGGCCCTTTTGGGGTTTGGGGTTTAGGGTTAGGGTTTAGGGTTTAGGGTTTAGGGTTGAGGGTCGAGGGTCGAGGGTTGAGGGTTGAGGGTTGAGGGTTGAGGGTTGAGGGTTGAGGGTTTAGGGTTTAGGGTTTAGGGGAAGTTTTGTGGGGGAAGCGTTGGGGAGGGAAGGCTAATTCAGGGGGTCCTCGGCTTTGGGCTTAGGGCAGCTCTGCCAGGTCCTACACCCATTCTCGACTAAATGCTGCGCTTCGGCTTCCTCTTGGCGGCCGCTGTGCACACAGCAAGCTGCCAAGATGCTACTTGGCAGCAGTAGTTTCAGGGTTCTCTCATGGCAAAATGAAAGCCAGAACCCCCAGCCCTCAATCCTCAAACCCTTAGAGGGCTTAGGGTTTAGGGTTTAGGGTTTAGGGTTTAGGGTTTAGGGTTTAGGGTTTAGGGTTCTGGAGATGGGTTCCGATGTTTAGGGTTTAGGGGACATTTTGGGGTGTTGTTAGGGTACAGAAGGTCGAATCTGCTTTGCCTGGAGCTGGGTAGTTTCTGTGGCGCTGGCATGGGCTTGAAGAGGTTATGTTGGATGATGACCCGCAACCCTAAACCCCAAACCCCAATCCCTAAACCCTAAACCCCAATCCCTAAACCCTAAACCCCAAACCCTACATAAACCCCAAACCCTAAACCCTAAACCCCCAACCCGAAACCTTAAACCCCAAACCCTACACCCTCAAGGTCGTCGACGCATCTAGCATGCTTCAGCGGCCGCCGGTGGAGGCGGTTGTGATCCGACAGTTTTGACCGCATGTATGCAGGTCTCCCATTTATGGGCCCCTTGTGAACCCTGGTAGCCCGCTACCCCCCAAACCCTAAACGGGGCCTTGAAAATTAGAATAGGGTTTTGGGGGGCTCGTCTAGTCTCATTATATAGGGGCCATAAGAGAACACCCTAAACCCTAAGCGCTAAACCCTAAACCCTAAACCCTAAGCCCTAAACCCTAAACCCTAAACCATAAACCCTAAACCCTAAACCTGTGGAACTCTATTAGGTGGCCATGTCAGCACGACCCCACGTCATCGGGCTTCGGCGGGAATCCGTGGGAGACCCGGAGCAGAAGGTTTTAGGGTTTAGGGTCTAGGGCTCAGGGTAGACCACTACTTCATTGAGAACCCCCCGCCCCCCCCCCCCCCCAAAAAAAAAAAAAATTAAAAACATCAAGAACAAGAAGAACAAAAAGCAAGAGCACATCTTCCGTATAAGGGCAATAAAGGTGTTTGTGTATGTTACTATTCTTCTGCTTCCTCTTATAATTATTCTGATTATTATTATTCTTCTTATCAGTATTGTTAATATTTTTTTATGATGATGATTATCATCATTAGTATTACTATTATGTTTCATTATTCTTCTTCTTATCATTATATATATATATACACATTTTTTTTTTGGGGGGGGGGGTTCTTAAGCAAGTACTAGTAGAGCAGAGAAGAGAGACCCGCGGAAAGGCACCAGAAACTTGGAGCAGCCCTGTTTTTGCATGTGGGCGGTGAGCTTGAGGGACATGGTAGATGAGGGTTTCGGAGCCGGACCTCTTGCCCTAACTAAAGCCCCTAAACCCCAAACCCTAAACCAAAACACCTAAACCCTAGACCCTAAACCCTGAACCCTAAAGCCTAAACCCTCAACCCTAAACCCTAACCCTAAACCCTAAACCCTAAACTTCAAACCCTAAACCCTAAACCCTAAACCCTAAACCCTAAACCCTAAACCCTAAACCCTAAACCCTAAACCCTAAACCCTAAACCCTAAACCCTAAACCCTAAACCCTAAACCCCAAACCCCAAAACCCTAACCCAAAACCCTACACCCTCAACCCTAGTTACACCCCTACACCCTATGCCGAGGTGCCCGTGTATCGACGTGGTAAAATTGCGTCTTTCAAGACGTCGTACTCGGGTGTGCCTCTCTCAGCACATCAGCACTTCAAGAACCCTAAACCCTAAACCCTAAGCCCTGAGCCCTAACCCTAAACCCTAAGCCCTAAACCCTAAACCCTTAACCCTAACCCAAACCCTAAACCCTAAACCCTAAACCCTGAACGCTATGGCCTAAACCGCTTGTGTGTTGTCCCTTTCAGGTTTGGGGTTCAGGCCGGGTTCAGGGCGACTTAGGTTTAGGGTCTAGGGAGCGTGAAAAGTTTATCGTAGTCAGGGCATTATGTATATATAGTATACGATTTCATCCAAGTATGGTAAATGAAGTTACGTTTCCTTAACAAGAACCCAGTTTTCAAGTTCGTGTTGTCAAGGGTGCTATCATTTACAGAAAGCCCTATAACAGAAACAACCTAAGCGCCCTTAAACCACAAACAGATCCAAAAACTCGAAACGAATTTCTTCGAACATGTCCACCCAAGAAAATTGCCTAAACCCTACACCCGAAACTTTAAACCCAATCCCTTAAGCCCTAAGCCCTACGGAAGCCCTAAGCCCATTGATGGGCACCATGGCCATCATCCTGGATTGAGAATGATTCAGGGGACCTCACTTTAGAACTTACAACCTAAACTCTAAACTTTCAAGCCTAAACCCTATTACGTCCAAATCCAATGGCCATGTCAACCCCCAGCGTTTCTGGATGTCAGGTGCTTAGTGTGGGCCACCCTCCACAGGAGCCATGGTGGGGGTTTGAGTTGGGAGCCCTAAACCCTACACCCTACACCCTAAACCCTAAGCCCCAAATCCTAAGCCCTCAACTTAGCGAGGGCTCAGCGTGCCCGAGCCGTTGCTGCCGAGCCAGGCAGGCCCGAGCAGCCAAGCTCGAGAGGCTTTGCAACTTGGTAACGTTTGCAAGCTGCTGCTGGAGGGTTAAGCTTCCAGTTGCATGCCGAGGACTCGGCTGTAAATGCTTTCAGGCCGATCTCAGGTAAATGAGGTGAGACGACTGCTTCCGCCGTCTACGCAGCGGATTCGTGATCGCGCTAAGCTCACCCCGAGGCAGAAGAAGGAGATGCGGGATCTTGGCTACAACGCCACCGCCGTCCAGTCCGGCGTGTGGACAACGGCTTCCGAACGCTTGGCTGCAAACACGCGGTGTGGGTTGGCAATGCAACCGACTAGTGATCGACAAAAAGGAGCGCTTGAAAGGCACATTAATCACAGGCATGTTGGACAGCAGGTGGAAGCAGGATATGCACCTTCGCCATCCGGAGGAACAAAGAACACCCAGCTTGCCTGCGCGTGGTTCATGAGTGTATGATGAGTGTCATGCTTCTTCTCTCCAACCCCTTCACTCGAAAGCAGAGCCCTGTTGCAGCCAGCGCACATCAGACGAAGATCCGAACAGCGCAAGCAGTGGGCAAGCAGCGTGCAAGCGAACGAAGCGGCCGATATGTCCAGGTTTCCATGGTTCGTACGCCGCGTGCTAGCAATTCAGAGCGAAGCCGACCAGTCTGGCGCCCCGGTTACTGATATGAGGACATCGCTATAGTTGCTCCAAGGGATGCTGTGCTTCTCCGGAACAGCTCCGGCACTCGGGGGAGCGCGGCTTGCAGACCTTAGGATCATGAGGGCCTTGCATCGACAGCAAAAAAAATGCACAGCTTCCCCTGCTTGAAAGATCAGGGTTCGGCTGGAGTCCTTCTTGCCTTTGTCTGCCGATGTCTGCAGTATGGGACTGCTTTGACAGGGGTCCACGATGCTGCTGTATGGGAATGTGGTTTGCAGCCTTACGCCGTTCAGAACCAACAGTGCGGCCAACACTGGGCTTTTCGCATTCAACCAGCCCTATGAGGCAGGTGCAGCTTGATGAGTTGCGAGGGCAACGCCTGATTTGCATGTGAAAACCACTAGTTTGCCCTACTATCTGTATCCTCCCCACAGTTCACGACAAGGCTGTTCATAAAGTGAGAAAGGGTAAGGGTAAGGGAACAAGTGAATGCAATGAACACGTGAAGACTTTTTGTGCAGCATTCTGGGGTTTTAACAAGCTATTTACTAGCCCTTTGTGCAAAGTGAAACTATTGAATAACAAGGGAGCGAAGTGAAACAAATTAACGTAGCGCACGCGTGAACTCAATGAGTGAGGGCATAAGATGTTTTACATTCAGTCCTCTTTTTTTTATGGGGCTTTGATTCATATCTTCATTCTATTCACGGCTATTGCTTCCTGACGCTTTACGCACCAAGTGAGGTAGGGGAAGGCGGGGGGGGGGGGGGGGCGGACTTTCCGCCCTAGCATGCTCACCAAGTCCCATGGTCCGAGAAGTCGCACGGTGCGAGCACAGCAAAGTTGTTTCACCTCCGCAGACTCTTCCAACACGCGCGGACCCTCACCCCAAGCCCTAAACCCTAAACCCCTAAACCCTAAACCCCTAAACCCCTAACCCCTAAACCCCTAAACCCCTAAACCCCCCCTAAACCCCTAAACCCCTAAACCCCTAAACCTAAACCCCTAAACCCCTAAACCCCTAAAACCCCTAAACCCCTAAACCCCCCTAAACCCCTAAACCCTTAAACACCCTAAACCCCTTAAACCACAAACCCCAAACCCCTAAAACCCTAAACCTCTTAAAAAACCCCTAAACCCCTAAACCCCTAAACCCTAACCCCCTACACCCCTAAAACCCCTAAACCCTTAAACCCCTAAACCCCTAAACCCCTAAACCCCTAACCCCTAAACCCCTAAACCCCTAAACCCCTAAACCCCTAAACCCTTAAACCCCTAAACCCCTAAACCCTAAACCCCTAAACCCCTAAACCCTAAACCCTAAGGCCTTTGCGTTGGGTTTGGGACAGGAGTCATTTTGCAGGGTTTGGGGTTCGAGGGGCCACATAAGGAAGCTACTACCTCAAGACCTAAGCTCCCAGGTCTGAAACAAAGTCCCAAAACATCCCGAAAACCCCATAAGACCTTGAAACGCTCGAAGCTCTATATATCCTGTAAATTCTTTAGGGTTTACGGTTTAAGGTTTGGGGTTCAGGGTAAGCCCTCACACCCTGATGCAGTTCAGGAGTTCCGGGTTGTTTTCGACACGGGCTCCGGGCGACTTGGCTGCGCAAAGAGTTGGTTTAGGGTTTCGGGTTTCGGGTTTAGGGTTTAGGGTTTAGGGCTTTAGGGTTTTAGGGTTTAGGGTTTAGGGTTTAGGGTTTATGGTTTAGGGCTGATAATCGGGTTTAGGGAGCTTGCTTGAGAGGGTGTTGGATCCGTGGGGTCTGATAGGGTTCAGAGTTTCGGGTTTAGGGTTTAGGGTTTAGGTTTCAGGGTGTAGTGTTTAGGGCTTGGGGTCTGGGAGTCTTGGGTTCAGGGTTCGGGGAGTTTAGGGCTGGGGTTGAGGAGTTTTGTGCGAAGAGAGCTTTGAGTTGATCAACACATGCTGCACCGAAACTGACCGGCCCCGGCTCGAAACTCCACCCTGCGGTTTAGGGTTTGGGGTTTAGGGTTGAGGGTTTAGGGTGTAGGGTTTAGGGTTTAGGGTTTAGGGTTTAGGGTTTAGGGTTTAGGGTTTAGGGTTTAGGGCGAAATCTGCACTGCACGGCTTGATCCTAAGCTCTCTGCGCGACACTGGACGCACCCATTTTGGGATATCGGGTTCGGGTTTGGGGTTGCGGGCTTGGGGTTTAGGGCCGAGGTTTCGGGGTTTAGGAGATGAGGGTTTGGGATTTTAGCCTGGGTTTGGGGTTCTGTTGGAAGCTCCCAGACCAAGGAATATCATCCTTCCTGCTGCCGAGTGCCTTGACAGAACGGAGCCTGATCCCCGAACTTCCCAACCCTCAGACCCTTAACTAGGGTTTAGGGTTTAGGGTTGAGGGTTGAGGGTTGAGGGTTTAGGGTTTAGGGTTTAGGGTCTAGCGCTTCGGGTGTAGCGCTTAGGGTTTAATTAGGGGCCTCAGGCCCAAATCCATAAAAACCTGCAACCCTCCACTTAACTCAGTCTCTAAGGTTGGAACCATGGGCGCTTAGTGTGGCCCCTTACCCTTCTTTATAGGGATCCGAAGTATGGGCCCTATAGAAGGGTCACATAACCAGGGGCCCACATTCAGGGCCTGAACTGGGGTTTAGGGTTTGGGGTTTAGGGTTTAGGGTTTAGGGTTTAGGGTTTAGGTGCCCTAAACCCTAAACCCTAAACCCTAAACCCTAAACCCTAACACCCTGAATCCCTACGGTGAGTCTCCTGAGGTGCCACAGCGAGGCCTGCTTGATGCCCCAAAGAAAGCGGTACAGCCTGCCGGCTTGGGATAGGGTTAGGGTTTAGGGTTTAGGGTTTAGGGTTTAGGGTTTAGGGTTTAGCGTTTAAGGTTTAAGCCTTCCGGCTTGGGATTTGGATTTTGTTCTGGTGTCGGGTTTCGGGTTTAGGGTTTAGGGTGGGGGGCTTTGAGTTTTTGAGGTTTTGGGGCTCTTGAGGGTTTAGTCGGGGGGGGGGGGGGGTTAGGTTTTTTTTTGTGCGTTCAGGGGTTCTTTGGGGTGTTCTTTCTTCTTTTTTTGGGGTGTGGGGCTTTAGCGTTTGGGGGCGTAGGGTTATTGAGGGTTCAGGGTGAAGGGTTGAGGTTTAGGGTGTCAGGATCTCGGACTTTGCAAAATCAGGAGGCATTTTTGTAGAGGTGGGGGGAGAGTTCCAAGGTCAGTCAAGCTCCGTGACGTCCCATCCGATCAACTCGGATGGCTCTCGCGTTCTGCCAGGAGAGCTTGGCGAACAGGCGTGCGGGTTTAGGGTAGCGCAGTGGTACTCTTCTCCTTTTTTTCGTTCAAGGTTCCCGTCTAAAGTAACCAACCCCAAACAAGGAGGTGGCCTGATTATCATATGCTTACTTTGCTACCAAGGAGTTTAGAGTGGTATCAGATTTTTTTTTTGGTTCTTCGTAGGGAATGAGGAATTCTGGCCCTATCTATACCCTTCAAGGGATTATGTAGGACCCTAATTCCCTCATTCCCTACTAAGAACCAGCCAGGCGTTTGCTTCGATATACCGAGAGGAAATCGACTACCTTTAGGGTTTGAGGGTGTAGGCGCAGCATGCCTCAAGCCTAAGCCTTAAACCCTAAACCCTAAACCCTGAACCCTAAACCCTAAACCCTAAACCCTAAACCCTAAACCCTAAACCCTAAACCCTAAACCCTAAACCCTAAACCCTAAACCCTCAACCCTAAACTCGTGTCCAGGTTGTGAATTAAGGGTCAGAGCCCAGTGGACCCCAAACCACTCACCCCAGTCTGGCCTGGATGCGCTCGAGCTTCTTCTTTCAGCGGTTTCTCATAAGGCCCCGAACTCCGCAGGTTTAGGGTCTAGGGTTTAGGGTTTGGGGTTTAGGGTTTAGGGTTTAGGGTTTATCGTTTAGGGTTTAGGGTTTAGGATTTAGGGCTTGAGGGCAGATCCCTGCCTAGGAGCTCACATAAACGCCTGCATCAGGTCACTATTGGCTTCGGAACAGGCGAAGTTACTGGAGAGCTTTCCGGACGCAGCCCAAGACTGCCCAAAGCCCAAGAAATCCCAGCCCTGTAAACTCTAACCTCCATTATGCCCTAATACCCTAAATACCCTGATATACCCTAATATCCGAATACCCGAAAACCCGGATACCCTAATAACCGAATACACTGATACCCTAATACCCTAAACCCTAAACCCTAAACCCTAAACCCTAAACCCTAAACCCTAAACCTATGTCAGGTTTGCCAGAGACCGGGTGTGCTTCGGCGGATCGAGCCAGAACAGCTCCGGAAATGCCACGGCCCCCCGGATGAGCAGGGCATGTCCTCTGAGGGCTTTGGGTTTAGGGTTTAGGGTTTGGAGTTTAGGGTTTAGGGTTCAGGGTTTAGGGTTTAGGGTTTAGGGTGCCTAGGGTTTAGGGCTGACAGGGTTTGTTCCGGGATTTTTGGGTTCGTAGGACTCCTCTTTCTTTTTGGCGCCATGGGCCTGGCACACAGCCACGCAGCCACTTGAAGGCTCATGGGTACATATAAGTAGGGTTATATGAGGTTGTCACCATAGTTACCCTACTTGTAACCCTACTTAAAAAACAAGTAGGGTTAAAAGTCCCAGCCATCGTTATCCTACTTCTCCCCTATCCCGAAACCCTAGACCCTAAACCCTAAACCCTAAACCCTAAACCCTAAACCCTAAACCCTAAACCCTAAACCCTAAACCCTAAACCCTAAACCCTAAACCCTAAACCCTAAACCCTAAAAACTAAACCCTAAACCCTAAACCCTAAACCCTAAACCCTAAACCCTAAACCCTAAACCCTAAACCCTAAACCCTACTCATAAGTCCCCACGAACCTCCAAGCAAGGAGACTCCCGAGACAGCCGTGGACTATCGGCCGGTGTGCGTTGAGCCGGGGGCTGAGTTCATCTCTGCGGGAGCACTTCCTCAAAAGGGGGTATCACTTATCTACCCTAGACCCTAAACCCTATATTATCAACCCTAAACCCTAAACCCCTAAACCCTTAAACCCCTAGACCCTAAACCCTAAACCCTAACCCCTAAGCCCTAAACCCTAAACCCCTAAACCCTAAACCCTAAACCCTAAACCCTAAACCCTAGACCCTAAACCCTCTAAACCCTAAACCCTAGTCCCCCAAAAATGTCACCTCTCCCTAAGTCTCAGAATCCGCGTGCGGCGAGCTGATATTCGCGGCGGCGCCATGAGGTAACCCAACTCACGCCTAAACCCCCCAAAAAAAATCCGCGACCCTAAGCAGCCCAATCCCCAATCCACAGTCCCCATAACCCTAAACCCTGAACCCTAAACCCCAAACCCCAAACCCTAAACCCTAAACCCCAAACCCTAAACCCCAAGCCCTAAACCCTGACCACCGAGGATGAGCCTCATCGTCGCGGTGGAGATGTCTACCCAGCCCTTTAAGACCTTCCAGTTTGATGGCATCCTTGGTCTGGGACTCTCTGGCCTCACGATGAACAGGACTGGGGTCCGGAGGGTCTAGGATGGCACCCTGAACCCCAAACCTTAGACCCTAAACCCTGAACCCTAAGCCCTTAACCCTAAGCCCTAAGCCCTAACCACTAAACCCAAAACCCCGAACCCCAAACTTAATGTACACCCTTTACGTTCATCATTCGCTTAGGATTTAGGAGTTTAGGGCGGGGCGAGTCTTCAGGGCCTCATGCGTCCATGTAGTGCAAACTCGAAACCCTGAACCCCCACCCCAAAGCCCGAAATCCTTCCACCCCCTACCCAACTGCCAGGAACTTCAGCGCTTTTGACATGATCGTGCAGTCTGGGATGGCTGTACCCCGACCCGAGCTTAAGAAGGGCTCAGGGTTTAGGGTTCAGGGTTCAGGGTTTAGGGTGCTATATATATTGGGGGGGGGGGGGGGGGGGACTTTGTGACTTTGTTGGGAAACCCTGAACTCTAAACCCCAAACCCCAAACGCCAAACCCCAAACCTGCAGGCGCAGCCCATCTTCAGCGTCTTCCTCTCCGATGGCGAGTTTGGCGAGCAGAGCGAGGTACGTAGAGTTCATGGTTGGGATGTTCTTTCTTATACTAACAGTTCTTAATCGGGATGCCAGTGAGGTATTATGATCCCTATGGCCCTATTAAAGACTTTTAGTATAAGGGTGAACATCAGCTTTCCTGGCCTAAACCCTGAACCCTAAACCCTATGCCCTAAACCCTAAACCCTAAACCCTAAACCCGAAACCCGAAACCCTAAACCCTAAACCCTAAACCCTAAACCCTAAACCCGAAACCCGAAACCCTAAACCCTAAACCCTAAACCCTAAACCCTAAACCCGTCATCAAGCTTCGGATGGCCCCTTGCGAGCGTCGTCAGCTTAGAAGCACCTGAAGCAAAGCCTTCGAACCCTAAAGCTTGGGATGTTACCCCCTTTTTAGGGTTTAGGGTTTGGGGTTTAGGGTTAAGGTTTAGGGTTTAGGGTTTATGGTCCTTCATAGGGATTATGATAGGGGGTACTATGCTCCCCATTAAGGACTGTTAGTATAAGGGGGAACATCCCAACCCTACAGCCCTAAACCCTGAAACTCTGCGAAGCCCCAAGATTGAGCTTAATGCAGGGGTCGGAAGAATTACGAATAATATTCCCTTATGGTCCCTCTGTACTTATATCATTATAACCCCCCAGAAACCTATTCTAATCATTAGACATCCAGAGCAGCTTGCCTTGCCAAAGTCAACGCCTCCCCTGCCGCAGGTGGCCATGGGTGGTGTGGACCCACGCCGTGCGCTTCCTAAGAAGACACCGAAACCCTGAGCCCTAAACCCTCAACCCTAAACCCTAAACCCTAAACCCTAAACCCTAAACCCGAAACCTCGCATTCTGGGACCGCAAGTGGAGAGCACATCGTGACTCAGAGATCCCGAGGCCTCGTGGAACCCATCTCATGGAGCGACGTCGCCATGCGCGTGCCGCGGCAAGAGGGTTTAGGGTTTGGGGTTTGGGGTTTAGGGTTTAGGGTTCAGGGTTTAGGGTTTAGGGTTTAGGGTTTAGAGGGTTTAGAGGGTTTAGAGGGTTTAGAGGGTTTAGAGGGTTTAGAGGGTTTAGAGGGTTTAGAGGGTTTAGAGGGTTTAGAGGGTTTAGAGGGTTTAGGGTTTAGGGTTTAGGAGCTCTCTCCGAGGACCTGGGCTACTGGCAAGTACGCATCCGCTCCGTGCGCATCGGTGGAGAAGAGCCGCATGCCCAGTTGAGACACAGAAAGTTTAGGGTTTAGGGTTTAGGGTTTAGGGTTTAGGGTTTAGGGTTTAGGGTTTAGGGTTTAGGGTTTAGGGTTTTAGGGTTTAGGGTCTTGGCTTCCGCCGCCTGTGAACCCTGCTGTGCTGGGGCACAATTGTAGCTCTTGAAGCACAGCGTCCTACACCCGAATTAAGCCCTAAACCCTAGACCCAAGTTAAGCCCGAAAACCCGCTTTAAAACCCTTAAACCTTAAAATTCTGAAACCCAACAGCCCCGAATTTCAACAACCGCGGCAAAGGCTGGACATCTGCTCGGACGGTACGTGCCGCGGTGTGGTTGACACTGGCACGTCCCATCTGGGGATCCCTGCACCCTGGGACAAGGCCCAGCTTTTGTGCGCGAAACTCAGGGATTGCGAGATTGGGCACCCCAAACCCCAAACCCTACACCCTAAACCCCTGAACCCTAAACCCTAAACCCTAAACCCTAAACCCCTAAACCCTCAAACCCCTAAACCCTAAACCTTCAACCCTAGACCCTCAACCCCCTGAACCCTGAACCCTGAACCGAAAGGAGGTGGAGAAGCGGCTGAAGCGCCAAGCTGGCGACCTTCTTGATTGCCGATGCTCGGAAGAAGCGTGTGGTGGTTTCCAGTCTACTTGGACGTTCATGGTACTTAGGAACCCCATGGTTTCCGAAATTATGCCTTATTGGGGTCCGTATTATAAGGGGATCCGACTCTTTGGGGTCTAGATTGAGGGTCTCCTTGTTTCGTAAACCCCCACATCACTTCTCTTTTTCTTCTTCCTTGGGCCCAGGTTTTAAAAACTTCTTGGGTTCTTCAGCATGCTTCAAGCATATAAGAGTTCAAAGGCCCTTCAAAACGCAAGCCAGGTCCAGCACGTGCACACCCCACACCCGAACCTGAAACCTTCATTAAACCCCAAACCCCAAACCCTAAACCCTGAACCCTAAACCCTACATCCTAAGCCCTCAACCCTAAACCCTAGACCCCAAGCCATAAACCGAAACTTTACACGCTAAACCCGAAAGTGCAAACAGGAAATGCGGAGGCTCCCGAGATCGAAATTGAGCTGCAGGAGGGCAAGGCCATGGCTTAGGGTTTTAGGGTTTAGGGTTTAGGGTTTAGGGTTTTAGGGTTTTAGGGTTTTAGTTTTTTAGGGTTTTTTGGGCTTTAGGGGCTCTAGGGTTTTAGGGCTTTAGGGGCTTTAGGGTTGTAGGGTTTTAAGGTTTTAGGGTTTTAGGGTTCAGGGTTCAGGGTTTAGGGTTTAGGGTTTGTTGGGGAAATGCGGTTTCCAGATATTTAGGTCTTCGGGCCGCCCAGCAACGAACCAAGAACCGAGGTTGCCGAGCGAATGTAGAACTTGAACTTTAGGGTTTAGGGTTTAGGGTTTAGGGTTTAGGGTTTAGGGTTTAGGGTTTAGGGTTTAGGGTTTAGGGTTTAGGGTTTAGGGTTTAGGGTTTAGGGCTGATCTACATGCACTCGGCCTACAGGGGCTTGGGGGCTTAGGGTTTAGTGTTTGTAGGGTTTAGGGGAACCCGAAAAGCATTTGGGCCAACAGGGCCATCGACTTCTCATGAACCGACCGCACCCCCCCCCCCCCCTCCCTAAAGTGTTGATGGTCCTCACTTGAACTCTCATAGCTGTAGAAGTTGCATGGCGGTATGTGCCCAAGATATTCCGGTAACTCTAAACCCTCAACCCTAACCCTAACCCCAAAACCCTAAACCGTAAACCCTAAACCCTAACCCCTAAACCCTAGTACCGAGACCGCCCTGGCAGGTCATAACCTTGTACCCCTTCAACTACATGCGCCGGCTGCCGCTGCGAGAGGGCGTCTCTGTGGGATCTTCGAAAGGCCTCCCCAAGCCCTAAATATCCCCAAGGCCTAAACCCTAAGCCCTAAATCTTAAACTCAACCGTGCACCCTAAACCCTAAAACCCTAAACCCTAAACCCTAAACCCTAAACCCTAAACCCCAAACCCCCTAAACCCTAAACCCTAAACCCTAAACCCTAAACCCTAAACCCTAAACCCTAAACCCCCTAACACCCTAAACCCTAAAAACCCTAAACCCTAAACCCTAAACCCTAAACCCTAAACCCTAAACCCTAAACCCTAAACCCTAAACCCTAAACCCTAAACCCTAAACCCTAAACCCTAAACCCTAAACCCTAAACCCTAAACCCTAAACCCTAAACCCCCCAAAATCAGACAGGCGTTCAGCTGAAGCAGCCCGAGTCCCCAGCGACGGAGGCTGTGGTGCTTCTGCAAGGCGCTTGTGGGGTGTTCAGGGTTCAGTTTGGGGTTTAGGGTTTAGGGTTTAGGGTTTAGGGTTTAGGGTTTAGGGTTTAGGGTTTAGGGTTTAGGGTTCAGAGTTCAGGGTTTAGGGTTTAGGGTTTCGGGTTTCGGGTTTCGGGTTTCGAGTTTAGAGTTTAGGGTTTCGGGTTCAGGTTGTTTTTTGGAACAAACAATAAAACCCCATCCATATTCCCTAAGGATATTTCTAAGGTAGCATTACCATCCCAAAGTGGGCAACGAAATGGCTAAACCCTGAAGGCCCCTAAACCCTAACCCTAAACCCTAAACCCTAAACCCTAAACCCTAAACCCTAAACCCCAAACCCCAAACCCTAAACCCTAAGCCCTAAACCCTAAACCCTAAACCTTGCAGGAGATGGCATTGGGGCGCCGTCGCCCCCGTCGCCGCCATCTCCCGTCGGGCTGCGGGGCTTCGATGTGGGAGGGGTTTTGCTGAACCTTCAGCCCGTATTAGGGTTTAGGCTTTAGGGTTTAGGCTTTAGGGTTTAGGCTTTGGGGTTTAGGCTTTAGGGCTTAGGGTTTAGGGTTTAGGGTTTAGGGCCTAGATTTTTGGGTTGAGGGCGCAGGGATTTGGGGCGAGAGTTTAGGGGTCCGGGGTTGCGGGTTTTAGGGTGCAAGCTCTTTGAAGCCCATAAGCACCTCCTGCCCGATACCCCTAACCCTTCATCAGCCTCGATCCCCAGTACCCTTCGAACCGCTCAGGTATTGCTTTGAGGCCGTACTACACCCTCAACCCTAAATCACCCCAAGCCCCAAGCCCCAAACCCGAAACCCGAAACCCCAAACCCCAAGCCCCAAACCCTAATCTCTGAAGCCCAACCCTAAGCCCCAAACCCTGAACCCCCAAACCCCAAACCCCAAACCCCAAACCCCAAACCCCAAACCCCAAACCCCAAACCCCAAACCCCAAACCCTAAACCCTAAACCCTAAACCCTAAACCTTAAACCCTAAACCCTAAACCCTAAACCCTAAACCCTCAAGGAACAGCTCAGAGCAGCCCGTGGAGCGGCATTGCAGCCCAAGGCTCATGGCAGCCGCTAGGAAGCAAAGGGTTTAGGGTTTAGGGTTTAGGGTTTAGGGTTTAAGGTTTAGGGTTTAGGGTTTAGGGTTTAGGGTTTAGGGTTTAGGGTTTAGTTAGGGTTTAGGGTTTAGGGTTTAGGGTTTAGGGCTTAGTGCCGGGTTTGGGGTTTAGGGTTTAGCGTTTGGGGTTTAGGGGTTTAGGGTTGAGGGCTAGGGTTTAGGATTTAGGGTTTAGGGTTTAGGGTTTAGGGTTTAGGGTTTAGGGTTTAGTTGCAGGTTCATGGGTACTTTGAAGTAGGGTCATAAGTCCCCCAAGTAAGGTGAGAACCATAGTTTCCCTGCTTGTAGCTTTACTTTCCAAGTACCCTGAACCTCTGAGAAGGGTTTGGGGTTTAGGGCGGGTTATGGGGTTACAGGCTCATGGGGTTTTAGAGTTCTAGGGTTGGAGTCTAGGGTCATCGGGTTATATGGTTTTGGTTTATCGGGTTTAGGGTTTCGGGCTTAGGGTTTGGGGTTGTCGGGTTATTGGGTCTTGAGTTTTAGGGTATCTGAGTTTTAGGGCTATAGGCTGTAGGGATATAGGGTCATAGGGTTAGAGGGTGAGCGGGTTAGTTATAGCGATTCGGGGTTAGCATCGTGGGGTTGAGGGTGTTGGGTTGAGGTCTTGCGGTGTTTTAGCTTGGCAAGGAAGTCCACCGGTGCCTTGAGCGACTGGCTAGCACGCTCCCTGCCCAACTTTAATAGCTATCTGGCAAAGATCGCTGCAGAGGCGCGATCGTCTTGGCCTCTTGAGCGGCCCTACGTGGGCTTGGTGCACGTCATCTGCACCTCCAAATTCGTGAAGCTCGGGAGAACTTCACTGGAACTCCTAGCATCGACCAAGCCGAACTTGGTCGCGACATGCAGGGTTTAGGGTTTAGGGTTTAGGGTTTAGGGTTTAGGGTTTAGGGTTTAGGGTTTAGGGTTTAGGGCTTAGGGTTTAGGGTTTCTTCGTCAGGCGACTCGACTGGGGCGTGATATTCCATAGTCTTACATCAGCTGGAAGGATGAGGATTCTGTTCTGGTAAGGAGTTCGGCATGTCGGAGCACCCTAAGCTCTAAGCCCTAAGCATAAACCCTCACCCTAAACCCTAAACCCTAAACCCCTAAACCCTAAACCCTAAACCCTAAACCCTAAACCCTAAACCCTAAACCCTAAACCCTAAACCCTAAACCCTAAACCCTAAACCCTAAACCCTAAACCCTAAACCCTAAACCCTAAACCCTAAACCCTAAACCCTCTAAACCCTAAACCCTAAACCCTAAACCCTAAACCCTAAACCCTAAACCCTAAACCCTAAACCCTAAACCCTAAACCCTAAACCCTAAACCCTAAGCTCCAAACCCTAAACCCTAAACCCTAAGCCCTAAACCCTATAGGAAAGTTGAGGTAAAGCTGCCCGAGCCTCTGGGTCCGAAACTCTTCATTCTCGGGGAGCCGGTGCTCCATCGCTGCCTGCATTGACTGGGGCCTTGTAGTTCCGTGTAGGGTTTAGGGTTTAGGGTTTAGGGTTTAGGGTTTAGGGTTTAGGGTTTAGGGTTTAGGGTTTGGGGTTGATGGTTGCGGGTTGAGGGTTGAGGGTTGAGGGTTGGGGGTTTAGGGTCTCGGGTTGAGGGTTTAGGGTTTAGATGGGTTTGTGTGTGGCGTAGGGTTTGGGGTGTAGGTTTAGGGCTTAGGAACATTTTTGAGGTGCCTTCACGGGTTAAGGGCTTCTCGGGCTGAAGCTTAGGATTTCGCGGGGCTGCTTCAACAAATGCTCACTGGGGGTGGGGCCTTGAAATCCTAAACCCTCTCTTACTATATATATATATATGCCCTGAATCCTAAACCCTACACCCTAAACCCTTATGCGTTTGGGGGGCCAAGCGTCGTGTAGCAGTTCTGCCTGAGTACCCCTGCACCCCCTAGGGTTTAGGATTTAGGGTTTAGGGTTTGGGGTTTAGGCAATGGATCGGGCCCGGAGCAGCTTTAGGGTTTGGGTTTAGGGTTTGGGGTTAGAAACCTGGCGCAGCACTTTCAACGCATGCACTCTTTCAGTGTGTCGCGCCATGTGGCTTAGTTACAGAAACTTCAAGGATCCGCGTGCCGTACATTGTGTAAAGAGGCCAACAACGACGCTGTAAATACAAGTGTTTTGGCATGGTCTCCCCCCCATTCCAACCCCCATACCCCCTTCCCCACCACAAAACAGAGAAACACAAGGAAAGCACCAGTGAAAAAAGCGCCATAAAACCAGAGTCAGCCAAAAGCCCCATCCAACTACCCACGCAAGCCAAGACCCGAGTCCGCCAAAGGCAAGCCAGCCAAAAGCAAACTCACAATCAAAGAGGTGCAGGTTCAGATGGGTTTAGGGTGTAGGGTTCAGGGTTTAGGGTTGAGCGTTTCTGTTGAGCGTTATCCCCTCCCGAAGCCCTGCGAAAACCTAAACCCTAAACCCCAAACCCTACAGGCTTAAGGTTTAGAGAGCTGCCTCGCTTCAGGCTACTACACTGTCTATGACTGGGAGGAGAAGAAGGCTGGCACAACTCCCGACAAATTGTCCCGACTATTGTCCTAAACCCGTGCTCCAATCAACTTGGGAGTCGCACAACCCTAAACCCTAAACCCTAAACCCTAAGCCCTAAACCCTAAACCCTAAACCCTAAACCCTAAACCCTAAACCCTAAACCCTAAACCCTAAACCCTAAACCCTAAACCCTAAACCTAAGAACTTCAGGACTCAGAAGCAGAGTTTGTTTCTATTTTTGGGCCGATGTTTGTGGCACCCCTAATGCCCAAACACCCTACTACCCTCAACCCTATGACCTACAATGCCCACAAACGCCCACCCCTGAACCCTCAACCCAAAGTTAAGAAGCTCGTGCCCCAAAGGCTGTAGCCCAGAAGATTCCCCTTAGTGGACTCTTAATATGGCCCTTCTGCTTATTCTCTTAGAGGATCTTGAAAAAGGGTCCCCAAACCCATTGCGGGCCCCGGGTAGCGTCCCTCGAAGCAGGAGCCCTTCGGATTGTTTTGCGCTTGCGGTACCTGAGCTCAAAACAACCAAACATAACCCCCAAAGCCCGCAGTCTTTGAACACCTCTCTAAAGCACAGGTGTTTAGGGTTTAGGGTTTAGGGTTTAGGGTTAGGGTTTAGGGTTTAGGGTTTAGGGTTTAGGGCTTAGGGTTTAGGGTTTCGGGTTTAGGGTTTAGGGTTTAGGGGTTCCCATTCCCGGAGCTCTTGAAGCCAGCTACATTTTCGAGGTGGGTTTCGCTCTGGCCAACAGCCGACAGACTCTCGGCGGCGTCCCGAAGCCCGAAACCCGAAACCCCAAACCCTAAACCCTAAATTCTAAACCCTAAACCCTAAACCCTAAACCTTAAACCCTAAACCCTGAACCCTGAACCCTAAACCCTAAACCCTAAACCCTACACCCTACACCCTACACCCGACCCCGAAACCCCACGTCGGGGTTGCCGTGGTGCACGTTGTGTTTATATTCCTGTTACTGGAAGTGCATATAGGGTTCCTTATTCGTATTGGTCAGTGTAGGGTTTGGTGTTTAGTGTTTAGGGTTTAGGGTTTAGGGTTTAGGGTTTAGGGTTTAGGGTTTAGGGTTTAGGGTATAGTCCTGTTGGGGTACTGGTAAGAAAGCAATACTTCGTGTGAGCATGAAAGCACCAAGCGTTGAGGAGGTGGTGGGAAATTTTTGGTGTGGCCTGCTACGTACTTGTCATCGTAGGCTTCCCCACCGAACTGACACTCTAAATCCTAAACCCCCTAAACTCGAAGCCCTAAACCCTAAGCTTGACGCCCTAAGCCCTGAACGCCCTGAGCCCCCTAAATGCCCCAAACCCCCCTAAACTCGAAACACCACACATGGGGCCCCCCAATCCGCAACACCATTGGTACGTAGTAGGGAATGAGGGAATGAGGGCCCTAACAAATAAGGGATTACATAGGGCCCTCATTCCTCGTTCCCTACGAAGAACCAGCCAGAGCAACACCTGTGTGCCTCTAAACCCTAACCCCTAACCCCTAAACCCTAAACCCTAAACCCTAAACCCTAAATCCTAAACCCTAAACCCTAAACCCTAAACCCTAAACCCTAAACCCTAAACCCCAAACCCTAAACCCTTAACCCTAAACCCTAAACCCTAAACCCTTAACCCTAAACCCTAAACCCGCATCGGTGGCCTCATGAGGAACTCCCTGGATCCCACCACGTTACGCGGTCAGAAGGGAGAATTGCCCAAAGAGGCTCGCAGGGTTTAGGGTTTAGGGTTTAGGGTTTAGGGTTTAGGGTTTAGGGTTTAGGGTTTAGGGTTTAGGGTTTAGGGTTTAGGGTTTAGGGTTAGGGCTGCAGGGTTTCAAGGTTTCAGGGGGTTCGGGGGTGTAGGCTTAGGGTTTGGTAGGGTTTAGGGTTGAAGTTTCGGGCTCAAGTTTGGGGTTTTAGGGTAAGGATTTGTGGAGCCGCCTAGTCTAGCTTAGGGTAAGGATTTACGGGCTGTGGGCCGTTGTATTTGCAAGTGGACTCCCGCTACTTGCACCAGGACTCGTGCACCAACACCCTACTTGAAGGTTCATGGCTACTTATGAGGAGGGTTATAAGTAGGGCAACTCTGTTTACAACCTGGTTTAGGGGGCTTATAACCCTATTTATAAGTACCCATGAACCTTCAAGTAGAGCAGGGGTATAAGGCCCCTAAGTAAGGCTATAGCCATAGTTACCCTACTTGTAGCTCTACTTATAAGTACCCATGAACCTTCAAGTAATGCCTGGAACTGGAGTGCCGTTCAAGGGCTCGGGTTTTCGGGTTCAGGGGTTGGAGGGCGAAAGGTTCAGGACGCACTGTTTCTGAGAGTCCTAAACCCTAAACCCTATATAAGCCCTAAACCCTAGACCCTAAACCCTAAACCCTCAACTCCAAACCCTCAACCCTAAACCCCAAACCCTACACCCTAAAACCTAAACCCCACACGCTAAACCCCACACGCTAAACCCTAAACCCTCAACCCTAAACCCTCAACCCTAAACCCTGAACCCTAAACCCTAAACCCTAAACCCTAAACCCTAAACCCTAAACCCTAAACCCTAAACCCTAAACCCTAAACCCCACACCCTAAACCCTAAACCCTAAACCCTAAACCCTAAACCCTAAACCCTAAGCCCTAGACATCTGGGCAAGGTGGACATGCTCCTCATGCAGCAGCAGATCAAGGTGACACGCGCCAAAGCCGTGGAGGGCGATCTCGAGGAGGAGACCCTCTTCCTGCAGGCAGGGGGGGTTTAGGGTTTCGGGTTTAGGGTTTAGGGTTTAGGGTTTAGGATATATGTAGCAGCAGTGTCCTGAAAGATACTTTGTGTCCTGAAAGATACTTTGCCCCCATGGACCGGCCCTCGCGTTTGAAAGCCCACTGCCAGGTGCATGTGCAGGTGACCCTGAAGCAGATCTAAGATTTCTATTGGGCACATTCCGCTCCTCGGCAGTGCACTGACCATCTTAGCTACTGCACAAGATGTTCCTTTCGTTTATTTAATTGGTGTTGTTTAATCTTTTATGCGCTTTAAATAACGTGGACTTGATCCGAGGAGACTGTCCATGAGCTGGTTCGAACTGGCAGCCAGGAGGCTCTGCACAAATGAAAGGGCCAGCCCCTCTATCAGTGCAACGAATGCCTGCGCAGTGCAACGACTGTGCCGAACACGGGTACGTCGTGAGCGCAGCAGCGATTTCAGCTTTCGCTGTTGCGGCAAGAAAATGTGCGCGAGTGTGTGTGTGTGTGTGTGTCTCTGTGTGTGTGTGTGTCTCTCTCTCTCTCTCTCTCGCGCTCTCTCTGTCTCTGTCTCTCTCTCTCTCTCTGTGTCTGTGTCTGTGTGTGTGTGTGTACTCCGCCCCCCCCCCCTCTTTCCTGAGGCCCTTCATTTCGTGGCGATGACTCGCGTTTCCGCCTGAATGCCCATTGCACTTTTGCCGGTCATTGCATCCAGATGTGTTCCTGGCATGTTTTGGCAGACGTCTGCGCCCATGCCCCTCGTGCACAAGGTTCTGAAATTCTGAAACCTAAGCCCTCAGCCCGGTAGGTTTAGGGTTTAGGGTTTAGGGGTTAGGGGTTAGGGGTTAGGGCTTAGAGTTTAGGATTTAGGGTTTAAACCCTAAACCTAAACCCGGAACCCAAGTACCCTCAAGAAGCTTGTGGTGAGTCTCCATGGAACCCCCAAGGCACACCAAACCTGCCTCCAAACCCGAAACCCTAAACACGAAACCCTAATCCCTAATCCCCTAAACCCTAACCCTTAAACCCCTAAACCCTAAGCCCTAAGCCCTAAACCCTAAACCCTAAACCCTAAACCCTAAACCCTAAACCCAAAACCCTAAACCATCTGCCAGGAAGAACACCTTCGTCCACATCCCGTGCAGTAACTTCAGTGACTCCGAGAGTGAGACAGAGTGCATGGTGTGCTCCTTCAAGAGGCGTGGGTCCGCTGGGGGGGGGGGGGGGGTTTAGGGTTTAGGTTTAGGGTTTAGGGTTTGGGGTTTAGGGTTTAGGGTTTAGGGTTTAGGGTTCAGTGTGTAGGGTTTAGTGTGTAGGTTTAGGGCAGAGTACCCATGAACCTCCCTCCCAAATCCCAAACCCCAAACCCTAAACCCTAAACCTCAGAAACCCCAAACCTCAGAAACCCCAAACCCTAAGCCCTAAACCTTTAAGCGTGTTGAGACGTGCTGCGCCCAAACGAGCGTAAGGCTGATCGTCTCTTTTGGGCGCTTCCCTTTTCCTAGGAATGTGACAGCTCACCCCTTCGGGTTCGCTGGGGGGGGGGGGTTTAGGGTTTAGGGTTTAGGGTTTAGGGTTTAGGGTTTAGGGTTTAGGGTTTAGGGTTTACGGTTCAGGGTTGAGGGTTGAGGGTTTCGGGTTTAGGGTTTAGGGTTTAGGGTTGAGGGTTGAGGGTTAGGGTTTAGGGTTTAGGGTTTGGGGTTTAGGGTTGAGGGTTTGGGGTCGAGCGTTTAGGGTTTTGGGTGTAGGGTGAGTAAGGTCCATAGCTGCTTTGACATTGCTTGCTTAGAGTTTGCCTTGAAGAAGGGGCTGTGGCCTAAGCCCCAAAACCCTAGATGCCAAACCCTTCAACCCTAAACCCTTTTGGGTCGTGTTTCTTTCGGAAGCTTCGGAAGGATTTTGAGGGCGCATTGGGACCGTCCCCTACCACCCCACAAGCTTTAGGGTTGAAGGTCTTGGGATTGAGGTTTGGAGGATTTGCTGCCATTTGCTTAAGGGTAGTTGCATGGTCCCTTAGTATGGGCCCTTCACAGAGTACCCCTTATATCTTATATACCCCTATATGCCCTATACAATTTAAGGGCCCATATGAAGGGCCCATGAAACTACCCTTAGATTGTTGGGTTGGGGGTCGGGGGTGGTGTAGGATCCCGTGGAAGCCTTTCGGGGCCGAGGGACAGAGGGTGCAGCGAGTCCAGTGTTAGAAACGTGCACCCCGGACCCCTCAACCCTAAACCCTAAACTCTAAACCCCTAAACCCCTGAAGCCCTAAACCCTCAACCCTCAACCCTAAACAAACCGACCATGGGCAGATGTGTAGGGTTTAGGGTTTAGGGTTTAGGGTTTAGGGTTTAGGGTTTAGGGTTTAGGGTTTAGGGTTTAGGGTTTAGGGTTTAGGGTTTTAGGGCTAGGGTTTAGTTTTTGCTTGGCCTTTTCCTCCTGCTCCGCCCTTTGGCAGGTCCAGGTCGTGCGACGGCATCTCCCTGCCCTGATGGAGAAAATGATGAGCAGGGCTTAGTGTTTTGGGTTTGGGGTTTAGGGTTTTAGGGTTTAGGGTTTTGGGTTTGGGGTTTGGGGTTTAGGTTTTTAGGGTTTAGGGTTTAGGGTTTGGGGCTCAGGGTTTAGGGTTTCAGGGTTTTAGGGTGGGTTTCTGGGTTAGGGCTTTAGGGGGTGTAGAATTTTCAGGGCGTTTGGGAGGCGGGTTTTGGGGCTGCGGAGGGGCGCTTTGAGGGGTTTGAAGGGAGTTTAGGGCGATTGAAAGACTGATTATTATGTGGGATGCACAGCCTCCAAGAGCCAAAACCCTGTTGAGTTTTTAGGGCTTAAGGGTTGAGGCGGTTGAGGGTTGTAGAATATTCGGGGTTTAGGGTTTTAGAATCTCAGGCCCTAACCCTAAACCCTAAACCCTAAAATGCTAAAACCCTAAACCCTAAACCCTATTTTGCAGCCTCCTCGCAGACAGCTGGCCATCCTGAATCGCGGACTCGAGCTTCTTCGAGTGGGCGGGCGGTTGGCAAGACCCCCCAGAACCGGGCTTAGGGCTTTTGGGGTTAGGGGTTTAGGGTTTAGGGTTTAGGGTTCGGGTTTAGGGTTTAGGGCTTAGGGTTTAGGGTTTAGGGTTCAGGGTTTAGGGTTTAGGGTTTAGGGTTTAAGGTTTAGGGTTTAGCGTTTAGGTTGTAGGGTTTAGGTTTCAGGGTTTAGGGTTGAGGGTTGAGGGGGATCAAGCTGCTATTATAAGAAGATATGGTAAAGAGATGTAAGGAGTATCGTTTCTTGAGTATGGTAGCTTAACTTATGCATCAACCCGTGAAAGCTACACCCCCCTGCCCAGAACGCCTAAACCCTAAACCCCAAACCCCAAACCCCAAACCCCAAACCCCAAACCCCAAACCCCAAACCCCAAACCCCAAACCCCAACCCCCAAACCCCAAACCCCAAACCCTAAACCCTAAACCCTAAACCCTAAAGGCTTGAGATTCAGTGCCGAACGCCTACAACAGTCAGAGCTTGGGTCTTAGTGCATTGGGGCTTTAGAGTTTTAGAGTTTTGGGGGTCCCTAAATTCGAAACCCTAAGCCCTAAATCCTAAACCCTAACCCTAAGCCCTAAACCCTAAACCCTAAACCCTTAACCCTTCACCCTTAACCCTTAACCCTTAACCCTAAACCCTAAACCCTAAACCCTGAACCCTGAACCCTAGACCCTAGACCCTAGACCCTAAGCCCTAAGCCCTAAGCCCTAAGCCCTAAGCCCGAAGCCCGAAGCCCGAAGCCCGAAGCCCGAAGCCCGAAGCCCGAAGCCGAGGTCTACAGCACCTGCAGCCTGAATCCGATCGAGGACGAGGCACCCAGAACCCCAATAGGTTCAAGGTCGAGGGTTTAGGGTTTCGGGTTTAGGGTGGAGGGTAAAGGGAAGAGGGTTTAGGGAAGAGGGTTTAGGGTTTAGGGTTAGGGTTTAGGGTTTAGGAGGGTTTCGGATCTATCCTGTCATCCTTTTCTGTGGTGGCTTCTGTGGCGAGCCGCCCTCTTCGCCGCCATCATGCACCGGCATCCGCTTTCCTCCCCACTCCGCAAAAAAGCGCTTGAGAAGTCGGGGCATCCTGAAAGACACCCTGAACAACTGCCCTGGAAGAGCCCGCAAACGCCTTGAAGAAGCCCTGAGAAAGCCCTGAGAAATGAGAAAGCCCTGAAAGCACAGAAAAAGCCCCGAGAGAGAGCCCTGAAAAAGCCCGGAAAGCATCTGAAAAAGCACTGAAAGACCACATTTGTGAGGCCGTCGTGGCAGCGCTTCTGCACCGTCACGGGGATGCAGTCGAGCGGCCTGGCAAAAAGTGGGGGAAACCGGGTTTAGTTTAGGGTGTTGGGGGGTTCTAAGTCTCAGGACCCCTGTCCTTTTCTGAAAGGTTTCTGAATGCTCACAGAAATCTGTGTAAGTTTGATTAGGCTCTTTAACTCTAGTCCCAAAACTCTAAACCCTAAACCCTTTAGGGCTTAGTGTTTCAGACTGCCACGCACGAGGCTTGTGCCACCGCCGGGCAACCTCGGTCCGCGCCAAAGAGCAGGGTTTAGGGTTTCGGGTTTGGGGTTTCGGGTTTAGGTCGGGTTTAGGGTTTAATTTGGGTTCAGGGTTTGGGGTGTTGATGCCGTAGACCACCAGAGCCTCAACACTTGGGGGGGTGGCGGGGGGGAAGGGAGTTTCAAGGCCCCAGAAACCTTTAAACCCTAAACCCTAAATCTCACACCACGGATCCTAAACCCTAAACCCTAAACCCTAAACCCTACATCCCAAACCCGAAACCCTAAACGCCGTGTTGACGGGATTCAGGGCTCCCATGCGGCTCGCCATCTCCACGTGGCCTCCTCCTCGCTTGGAAGAATTCTCTCAACTAGGCCCCCTGCTTGGGCCCCCTTTTGAGTACACTTCCCTTAAACAAGGACCCAACAACAAGGGGTTTAGGGTTTAGGTGTTCAGAACCCTTCGAGGTCCGCCTGGGCAAGACTGTCGTTGCAGGGGGTTTCGTAGGGCCAAAAGAAGAGGATGGAGAGACGCGACCGGTAGTCATGTGTCAGGAGCGAAGTGGGATGTTTGCTGAATCCGGATCGGCAGGTCCGAATGCAATGCAATGCAGAAAGGGCGGGAGACAAGAACAACGCCGTGCGCGTGCGATAGATGGAAGCGAGAA